TTAGGATTGTTTCTTCACCTTCTAGCTTATTACTTCTTGCCATCATCTGCAAATCATTGCAAATATGTGAGCCACAGCCGGTATCTAATACCCAAGAAGAATCATTAATTGATAAGTTAACTTCAACAAAATAAATACCTAAACTCTTCAGGCTTGCAAGATACTCCTTGCAGTTCCTCTTCCAGTGCCCAGTTTTACCACAATGATAACATTCGTGATTCGACTAAGGATTAACCTTTTCCTTGTTCTTCCCTTTGTCATTATTTGCCTTCTTGTTGGATTTGTTGGGAACCTTTCCCTTCCCCTTCCTCTTCTTGGACTGAAAAGTCTTCGCTTTGGAAGTGGATCCAACTAGAAGCACCGGCTTATCCTTTTTAATTGTGGATTCAGCCGTTTTTAACATACCCACCAACTCATGGAGAGAAGTCTCCATTTTGTGCATGTTAAAGTTAACGACAAAGCTATCAAATGACGGTGGCAGAGATTGCAGCAACAAATCCACATAGAGTTCATTATCCATAATGACTCCAAGGGATGAAAGCCTTTTAATGAGAGCTATCATCTTCAGCCCATGATCATGAACTGAAGAGCCCTCAGTCATACGACACCTGAAAAGCTCCTTAGATGTTTGATATCTAATTTGCCGCGTCCTATCACCATACAACTCTTGTAGGTGAAGGAGGATTTCAGAAGCATTATCTAATAATTCATTCTGTCTCTGTAACTCATTTGACATTGATGCTAAAATGTAGCACCGAGCTTGGAGATTGTCATCTACATGACGTAAATATTCTCCATACTCATCAGCAGTCTGATCCTCTGGTGGAGGAGGAGGGGCTCTGTCCAGTACATATGCCCTTTTCTCAGACTGAAGAACAATTTTTAGGTTCCTTAGCCAATCGTTAAAGTTGGGTCCAATTAATTTGTTTTGTTCGAGGATACTAGCGATTGGATTTTTAGCCATTTTAGTAGACGATCTACAAAAACAACAGACGAAGCAGAAAATAATTAGACTATGGAATTCATATTCATTTAATATTAGGTCTTTAAATATTAAATGTCTCCCACTAATTTAATTAAAACCCCTTTTTAATTATGAAAATCTAATTTTCATAGTGGGCTTGAAGTCCAATAAAAATATTCCATATCCCAATTTTATGAGTACGCATAGAACATTTATATCGGTAGTCAACTTTTGACAATTGTATCTCTATACAACCTTCAAGATATTTTGCCTCACCTTTCCTTATATACCTCAATTTTATGACCGTATATATTACTTGGTGTCAAATCAAACCCATCAAAACTTTCATGATAATGGCCCACCAGAGTGTCCCACGACTCATGGTCAACACAAAGAGGAATCCATCTCACGAGTATCAATATACTTAGTAGAGTTCACAGCTTTCGACACAGAACCACCCCACGACTCATGGTCAGTGATAAAGTATCGTAGCATCTCATGTCGTCTACTTTTGATGGAAGGCCGGGATTAATAAGTTCCAACTTATTTTTATCCATTATTGATTTGATATGGAATTAATCAAATTATTCCGTTTGGGTTCCTTGATCTCATTGATTACCATCTTTACGTTTATTTACCGGTTTCAGTCATCTAATCAAACGAAAGCGTAAATAAACCTAACATACATCTAATGCATGGTGGGATGATCATGTCCTTGCCTATTCGATCCATTCGAGCCAAAATGGATCTATGCCTATGTACGTGATAAAACAAATAATAGAACTACTTCTATTACATTTATTCTATCTACCCGTACAAGCACAGACCTTCGAGATTACAACTTGTAAAATTACCCACACATGCGTGGGCCTTTGTCATCGAACGGTCTCCACCTTGATCTAATCTCTAACGATACAAAATTTAAAATTTTACAAATTTCATCTCAAGAGACTCGCAGGTCTCGATAAATTACATTTCTTCAATCATATTGAAAAACATAATTAAACATCCATTCATTCATTCAATCACATTGAAAATGAAAACATACATTCAATCATATTAAATATGAGGCTCATGATCATCCCTAAATCATTCATCTAATGAATAATAATTTTTTTTTTTTATTTATCTCGCGAGATATGTCGCGACTCGCGAGTCCAACTCGCGACTCGCGAGAAAAACTGAGACAAAAACTCGCGGCTCACGACTTGCGAGATGAATCGCGACCTAAGTCGCGACTCGCGACATATCTCGCGAGTTATCTCGCGACTCGCGAGAAAAACTGAGGCTCTAGGAAAAACTGAAATTATCATGTCGCGACTCGCGACTTCAGAATTTTTTATTTTTTTTTTATTTTTTTTATTTTGATAATTAATATATTTATCTCATAAATATTTAATTATCTTGCTTAACCCATAAGCAATAACAAATCAAAATCTGTTTTAAAGACGATAACCGTGGCTCTGATACCACTGTTGGGTTCGCTAGTACCGTACGGGCTTTAAGCAGCGGAATTTAAAATTTTTCAAAGTAAGTATTTATCGTATAAATACAAGACCCGTACATACTAATTGCGAATTAACTGATCGTCATCTTTAAAACATGCATCATATACAAATTTTGATTTGTTATATAAAATTAAGTACCAGTACAAATATTTACTGTATGTCTTGAACTCCTTCAACGACGATGTGGATTGTGGGAATCGGTTCCCGGTTTGATAACTTCAACGGATTGAGGTTACTCACTTTAGGAATGCAAGTGTCTTCCCTCTAAACGTATCCACCCTATGAAGCCCGGTTCCGACGACCTTCCTTCGCTAGTAGGAATGTCTCGATTTTCTTGTATAGGAATATGTATGAATTTTATTTTGGGAAATTTCAAGAACTCTTTCTTGATGTTTATGAAGAACTATTCTTCTTTCTAACACTTAGAAATTTTAGGAATGAATTTCCCTTAAATGCAAAACCATTTTGCATCTATTTATACTAAACATTTTAGCATAAAATAATCAACATTTAGTAATATTTAAATAAAATCAGATTTTATTTAAATAATATTTACTAACTATTGACTTTGAAAATAATAAATAATGTTAAGTGGTTCAAACCACCTTTAACCACCATTTTATTATAATCATATTTACTATTTTAATCCTTAAATCATATTTAAAGATAAAAATAATAATAGAATAATAAATCTTGAGAATCTTTTCAAGACTTTATTATTATATTCATTTTCCCAATTTACATCCATATTATAATAATCATATTATTATTATTTTGGTTTGGAAATTTAAAATCCAATTTTAAATTCCAACATATTAATTTAGTAATTACCTTAATTACTAAAGTAATATCCAAAAATGCAATTAATCAATCTTATTGATTAATATATTCCTTTTAATTGATATTTAATCAAATTAGATTATGTCAATTAATTCTAACTCTTTAGAAATACAATTTTCACCTTTGTTCATAATAGGTGTGACCTTTTAGGTTCACCTTAATACTAGTAGTGGGTTTACAACTCTTTGTAATTTGAGTTAATCACATTAACTCTTATTCATGAATTAACCCTTTAATTCAAGAAC